ACACATTTAAAACCAAAAAGAAGTCCAGAGAAGATGAAAAGAAACACACAGAAAAACCCTTTATTGTCCCAAAATGGAGAAATTGCTCATATTCGGATTAACTGTATAAATTAATTGCAATTCTTGAAGTTAGATGCTCGGTATCACTTAAAATCTAACCTGATTTTTTTCTTACTGAATCTCATTAATGGGTTTTTTTTTTTGTTTAATCAAGGTCAGCCTTTAGTGTGAGAACAGTCAGTAGCTTATTCACCTCTTACCTCACCCTGGTTATTGGCGCCTAAGTAGCAGAAGCCGTTTCCCTATGACTTTCAAGCACTTATAAAGTATTTAATAAAGCAGGACTTTGCTCTTTTAACTCGAGCAGTGAAGTTATACACTGAAAGAAACAGAGGAACCTTATACCACCTCAGTGGGAGCAACTCTAAATGCTGAATAAACAAAATGTCTGTGGAAGAGATTTATATTGAGAAACTAGCGGATCTTAGCTCACGTACACACTAGATATTACCCAAGCACCATCAGTAATGTGACACAGTGCACCATCAGCAGTTCGACATGACGAAGCACTGGTAGAGACTCCCATCTTTCACTGCAAACCCACAGAAAGAAAAAATCCAATCACTGAAACACTCCAAATCATTGCAGTCATTCAATCTTACTAATGGAACTGGAGCGGAAGAAGGACTGAAGAAACAGAAGGCGAACTGGGCTTTATTATGAACCACTGTCTGCCACTGGGGAGAACCACAGCAGAACGAACAAAACGTTCCCAATAAAGCAGGACTTCTAAAATACACACCTGTGGCTGATGTTCACAGCTGTTCTGAGTTGTTCTGGGTTTAAAAACATCTGGGGCTAAATCATAGGTCTCAACGTTAAAAATAACTGCCGTCCAGCAAACAATGAAGCGCTAGAAAGTAGAAATGAGCAACTCAGTAGAATTAGATTGAGAAGATGAGAATGTATTAATAATCCACCCAAATACTTTTCTATCCACAGTAGGACATGTTCTGCCCACTAACTGTAAATTCATTGTAGTCCTGTCTCTGTCGACATCATAAACTAGCATAAATTGATTTGGGCTGAAATAATTATTCAGATTGATCATGATTATTCTATTATTAAAATAATAATTTTGCTCTTTCACTCTAATTTGTCCTTTCCTTTTGAAATAATAATTTCCATAATAATCATCAACCAATAATAATTGACTGTTAACTGAAGTGTAATTCAATTCATTTCAGTTTATTTCTATAGCACCAATTCAGAACATGTCATCTAAAGGCACTTTACAGTTCACCAGATCATACAGCATACAAGTTTTCTATCTAAGAAAAACCAGTTGATTGCATCGACTCATTGACTCGACTGCAATCCCTCACACTAAGCATGGTTGTAGTGACAGTGGAGAGGAAAAACTACCTTTTAACAGCAAGAAACCTCCAGCAGAACCAGGCTCAGTTTGAGCGGCCATCTGCCGAGGCCGACTGGGGTTCAAGGAGACAGAAGCAGAGAATCAAAAAGCAACAGTAGAAGGCGGCCCCGTCCAGTAAACACACAGCCAGGCAGACGAGCTCCGGGCCAACGCCCATGTCAGAGGATGAAGAGAGCACATCCAGTGAGTCACAGTCTGAGAAACAGGACTACCCTGAAAAACAGGCCGATCTCCAACATCTATAAACAAGGGTGTTGATGGCAGCAACACAGCTGATATCACAGACTCTTAAACATGCCTTTAGCTCACAGAGCAACCCACCTTGAGCTGCAATTATACCGAAATTGTAAAAATAAAAAATTGTAAACATTTTGAGTTTTTTTCAAACCATTTAGTGGGTTCGGCTTACAGTGAGATGCACTCTACAGTCCAAAAAATATGGTATTTTGGTTAGTAGCAGCTATAATTTTCCAAACAAATTAACTTTTATCGCAGATGTAAAGATGGTGTGGCCATGAGTGGCAATATAAAAGGTATTCCAGAATTAGAGAACATTACAGCCTTCAGAATTTTTAAAACCCTTTATGTTTCATTTAGGATCCAATTTTGAGGGAATCTTAAATATCAGAACAATTGTGAAAAACAACTGTAATATATTTTTTAATATCTCTATCTAAAATCTGCAATATAAATACGCAGATAGAATCATTTTCTCCAGTATTTATTCAGCTCCAAAATTTCCCTCCAGCAATGCATATCAGGCAAAACTTTCCTGTCTTTAACTGCACATTTTTTATTTAATTGAATTGTACAATGGTTTTTTTATTTAGGTCGAAAGTTTATTTATCCCACTGGTTAAAAATTATTTGGTTAGCTGTACACATTCCTGTTGTTCATTATTATTTCCTGTCTATAGCATCTCTTTTTTAGAACCTTTCTAATTTTTCACACATACACAAAAAAAATATGATTGCTGCTGATTGCTGCTCATATCGGGACGATATTAGGATTGGTCAGTAATCAAAGCTGGACTGTCAGTATTGTATTGAAAATAATAAAGTTGTATTGATGCCTCTATTTCAGAGTTTCTTGTGAAAACAGAAATAATAAGATATCAAATATTTTAAATCAACTAAAAGCAAATCATTTTCACGAATGTTGTGCTTTTTTTTTTTTTTTTTTTTTGCATCCTGTAAATTAGACGTCTTCATTGCTCTCAGCAAATGATTTCTTCGCTGGAAGAGCTTTGCTGTATATAGTCAGAATACGCTGTATACACACTAAGGTCTCATCCAAATCCAAAATAGATAATAGGACTGGAAATAATCTGACTGAAACGGAGAGGCTGAGTGCACACCAGTCAGCCTGCCAGTCAATCACAGAATAACTCAGAGCCACAGGACAAACAATCCCCCATGCACACTCTACATGGAGCTGACGGAAACTAGTCAGCAGTCACGTTACTGGTCTGTGAGAGAAAGTCCTGAATCTCAGGAGAGAAGCCATGTTGACCTGAGAAAAACATGCAAACTCCACAAAGACAGACATGGCATTACAGGTGAGCACTAAGTTTACTTAGGACAGCGGATTAAAAGTAGCTGTTGTACCAATTCTGGCAAATTTACATTGATGCATTAAGCAGACATGTTAATAAATGCGTGTTGTCATAATTCAAGTAAAAAAATGCAAACATACATGCAAAACATGAATAAAATCAGTAGAATCCACAGATATTAACCTGTTTCTTTATCATTAGAGTAACGGATTTCTGCATAGTAGGTTTTAATTGTGATCAATCGTTTAGTGGAATGATTGTCGCCCATTTTTTTTTTTTTTTTTTTATGCTCTATGCAGAACTCCTCAAATGGAAATCTGTTACCGGTAGTTTCCCCTGGATTGAATTCCGTCAGGAATGTTCTTTAGCAACTGCGATGGACTGGCGACCTGTCCAGGGTGTACCCCGCCTCTCGCCCATTGACTGCTGGAGATAGGCACCAGCACCCCTCGCGACCCCACTCGGGGGGATTCTGCCTTTTTTTCTGACATCTGGGCTCCCTCCCCAGGCATATTTCAACACAAACAGTAGCTACACTGAATTTCTCAAAATTACACTGAAATTAGGTGGATTAACTGACCTTTACTGACCACAACAATTGCATTAAAACTGTTTTTAATCACTTGAATCTCCTTATTTTCACGTACAAGTGAGAGAAGTGCTGTAAAAACACAAACCCTGCGTCCTTCAGACTGTCACCAACTCCCCCTGAGAGCTTGCAAGCAGGTGAACAAATGAACTACCGCCCCGCCTGCAGACAGAGCACCAGCTTTGAAAGCAGGGGTGAAGTGACAAGGCTCAGGAGGATTACCAAACAGCTGATATGTCAAGCTGAACTGAACAGTGATGAGGAGTGTTTTTTTCTACCCAATAAAACAACTGCTTCACTGCCTTACCAGGGCTGCAGATCGATCAGAACAACATCTCTGGGTCAGTCTAGTGGTTTGTATTGACTCAAAAAATAAGTATACTTAATTAGCAACGACCCGAAGCACAAAGCTGTATCACACAAAAGAATAGTCAAAAGTTATACATTGTGATTTCTGGATTTTTTTTTTTTTCTTTTTAGATTATGTCTCTCACAGTGGAATGCATCTATAATGACAACTTCAGACCCATCCATAATTTCTAAGTGGGATAACCTGCAAAATAGCAAGTTGTTCAAATACTTATTTTCCTCATTCTTTTTTGTCTCTTTGCAAATTAAATCCACTTATTTTCTTAGAGGGGATATAAACCATCAGACTGACCCAGAGATGTTGCTCTGATCCAACTGCAGCTGTGGTAAGGCGTTGATACTGTAGTTATATTGGGTAGAAAAAAACAAGCCTGACCGTTTTCCTCACTAGCTCTAGCACAGAATACCCCCTAATCCACTATATCTATTCTGGATGTGAGCCAGAATGATTGACAATTAGAAGGATCACTGATATAGATGATTCACGCTGAAATAAAATAAAAAACATCATTTGGACTAAAAAGAAAGGTTATCTTAACGTTTTATATATGGTATCAAAGTAACAATATTTCAGAGAATTAAAGTTTGATGGTCTAGTTTAGGGCACCAGCAAATCAGTAACTCCGCCTCTGAATGGATCGGTAAGGAAGTTTTTGTCTCTGCCTGCTCTAGAAAACACTTTGTCTGCTTTTGTTGCCAAGAGTTAAAAATAAACATTTTTAGCTTAGAGGTAAATTACTTTTTTACATGGAACCAACCTGGTTTCAGTTGTTTTCCCGATTATAAATTAAAGCACTATCAATAACCATTCATTATGAAACATTTAAGCTCGAGTACAAACCAAAAGTTGAAGAAATCCCTAAGGGGAGCAGATATTTCATTAGAGATCTCTATATCGTTGATTGAGAAATCTCTCGGGAACATTACATCAACATTATAAAAAATAAACAACTGACAGATAAGACCAAGAAGCTTCTCTATTCTAACTTTAATCAATAACAACAATAGATCTAATAAACCATCACAAACACAGAGACAGATTTCCCTACCTGATTCACAAACCACTGATCCTGGCTTGAGCTCCAGCATCATCGTAACCATAGCGATGTCTGGGGTGTAGAGGATCTGGGTGCGGTGAGGTAGTGAGACGGTCCAAAGCTCCGGTGTGGGGTGCAGCACATGTACCCATCCGCCTTTACTACAGGTTACTTTAGAGCCGTAGCGCTGTCCAATAAGGTCAGAGGAATGGCGAATCGCTCCATAGCGGGTCTGGGTCTGAGCACCATGTTGTACCTTGACAGGCGTCACCGAGTTGTGGCCCAGGTGGACGATGGCAACGTCCCCATCTTTAATCAAATCTGAATATTCCACAAAGCTCATGCTAGGCAATAGGTCTGAAAGAGAGAGGTAAAACATGAGTTACACTAAATACTGTGGCTGTGCTTTGTGTAGTCTGGGAGGAAAATAGACCATACTGCCTCTATCAGACAAGCTTTCAGATATTTAAAACAATTTTTTTCTTATAGAAAGTGAATACTTTGAAAACTACTGATATTTTTTTTGTTGATTAAACTAAAACACAACTGAGCAAGTTTGGAAAAACAAACAAAATCAGCATGAAAAGCTTATAGTTACAGTTGTTAAGGTGCGCTATCTTTTATGTTATTATAGTCTTAGGCTGCTGGAGGACTTAGCAACCAATTTTTATCTTTCCACTTCATTCTATCTCTATTTTCCTAAATCAATATTATATGTCAGTTAAACCCTTAACTTTATGTTCTGTCCGATTGTTTTTGTCACATTAGATTAATGTGGTTTGGTGCTGTTTAGCTGTGACATCATCCTTGAAAGAAATATTAGCTTGGCTGCTGCCATCAGCGCTTCCATTAAAGATGATCGAGTTTGGTCTGTTTCCAGTGCTTTATTCAGTTTCTCTCCTAGACATAGCTATGGACTCTGCTTTTATTGTGACTAACTGTATGTACTCTGTTTGGTCCCCTTTGGCATTAAGACTGGCTCCTCTTAATGGTTTCCTTCATAGACAGAAGAAAAAAAAAAAGAAAAAAAAAAAACAGAAAATGAACTTAATCCCCCAAAACGCATTTCAACGTCATTGCAGCCCTGCCTTAAAGGACCAGCTAACATCGTTTCAGTGATTGCTCCAATAACACAGGTGTGGGTGGTGATGAGGACAGGGCTGGAGATCATTCTGTCAGGATTAAGTAAGAATGACACCACTGGACACTTTAAAAAGAGGCTGGTGCTTGGCATTATTTCTCTTCTCTGAACCATGGTTATCTCTAAAGAAACATGTGCAGTCATCATTGCACTGCACCAAAATGGCCTAACAGGAAAGAGAATTGCAGCTAGAAAGATTGCACCTCAGTCAACAATCTATCGCATCATCAAGAACCTCAAGGAGAGAGGTTCCATTGTTGCCAAAAAGGCTCCAGGACGCCCAAAAAAGACCAGCAAGTGCCAGGACAATCTCTTAAAAGTGTTTCAGCTGCAGGATCGGGCTACCAGCAGTGCAGAGCGTGCTCAGGAATGGCAGCAGGCAGGTGTGAGTGCATCTGCAATTCTGCATGCACTGTGAGGTGGAGACTATTGGAGCAAGGCCTGGTCTCAATGAGGGCAGCAAAGAAGCCATTTCTCTCCAGGAAAAACATCAGGGACAGACTGATATTCTGCAAAAGGTACAGGGGGTGGACTGCTGAGGACTGAGGTAAAGTCATTTTCTCTGATGAATCCCTTTTCCGATTGTTTAGGACATCTGGAAAACAGCTTGTTCAGAGAAAATGAGATGAGCGCTACCACCAGTCTTGTCTCATGCCAACTGTAAAGCATCTTGAAATCATTCATGTGTAGGGTTGCTTCTCAGCCAAGGGAGTCGGCTCTCTCACAGTCTTACCTAAAAACACAGCTATGAATAAAGAACGGTAAAAACAATATGAACCACCTTTCATCAAACTCGAAACCACGCCCACATTCCAAAGTGACAGCCGGAAGTCCCGCCTTAATTAAACCGGAAGTCCCGCCTTAATTAAACCGGAAGTCCCGCCTTAATTAATATAAAATTAATATAAAATTGATATAAAATTGATATAAAATTAATATAAAATTGATATAAAATTAATATAAAATTGAATTAAAAAACTAATAAAAAATGAATAATTAAAAAATTATTATAAAATTTATAAAAATGCATATAAAAAATTAACTATGTTATTTGAATAACGGTTATGATGATTAAATGATTATTTTTAATTATTTGTATTGATTTCTTATATAATCACTGTAAGCACGCCGTTTTAGCCTCTGCCTGAGCAGCTGTGTGATGAGTGCAGTCACTCACACTCACACAGTGCAGCCACCCCCCAACCCCCCTCGCTGCAGCTGCTGTAGCCCCCTCGCTGCAGCTGCTGTAGACCCCTCACTCTGCCCTGTGCCTATGTGGCCCTTTGCCTATGTGGCCCTCTGCCTCATAGGATTCTGCAAGACTATATATCTTTATACACGATAAATAATGATGTACATGTATATGTATCGGTCTATTAAAAGAAAAAATAAAATAAAAAAAAAAAAAAAAAAAACAAAAAAAAAACTAATGTCTAATTTTGTCCATTCATACGGT